CCACCATTAAAAGATGTCCTCATCCCTTTAACTGCTGAATCTTTGCCCAAGCTTTTTAATTTTCCACGTTTTCTTTCTTTGTCTTGTCTGGGTATAAACACAGTTAAAAAAATGAGAGCTTGTGACTTGCATAGAATCACAGGTTTTTCAAGTTGCAAGTATATCTGAGTACATTTTTGCAAATGCAAAATGTTTGGGGAATCAAATCGTAAAGTCACAGTGAGTGCAGCAATTCAGATCAAATACGGATCTCCAAGCAAGGAATATTTAAATGGTAACACTGCCTCATTCCCCAATGTGTTGGTGTGCTTATTTGGCTTCAGGAAACAAGACAACTGACAGTGACCTTGTTTTGGGGAGAGAGAGGGGAATTTGAGAATTTCTATCATTTTCAGAGGACAAAATCCCAAACAGATGATGTAATTTCTGAACACAGAACAGAACAGGCTCCCAGTGTCTGTCTGACCTAAATATAAATCCGCTGTTTGGCAACAAGGGACATTCTCCAGTGTGGTGCTCAGCTGCCACCTCAGCCGTTAGGTGCATCTCTCTCTTCCAGCCAATATTAAATGATCACCTTTGTCGTGACACTGTCCCTTCCAATAGATTTTTATCTCAAGCTAAATCTGGAGTCAGAAACTAGGCAGAAGAGTGCCTGCTCTGCCGGCAGAGCTCAGTACTCTGAATACATGAAGATTTTTTCTCTTCAAGCTCAGCCGCCGACAGCCATGCGCAAGCTCTGCAATCACAGAAAGCAGTACAGCCCCTGCACCCTGCAGCGCAGGCTGGGACAGCCCTTCCATCAGCACTTCCTTCAGCTAGCTGGCTGAAGATCTCATCTGTACGTACCTACAGGCAGCACGCACAGGACCAAGTGCCTGGTGTGGATGCTGTTAGTGAACTGCAGACTGGCTGTGACATGTCCCAGCACTAAGGCTTCCAGCTATGCCAAGTGAATCACAGAATCGTTGGAGTTGGAAGGGACCTTTAAAGGCCATCCAGGCCAACTTCCCTGCAATGAACAGGGACACCTACAGTTAGATCAGGTTGCTCAGAGCCTCCTCGAGTGTGACATGGGGCAGCCACCACCTCACTTGGCATTCGTTTCCAGTGCCTCACTACCCTAATCATAAGAAAAAAACCTTTTCCTTATATCCAATCTATTCACTTTTCTCTTAGTTAAAAAACATTTCCCCTTGTTCTATCTCAATAGATTCTGATAAAAAGTGCCCCCTTTTTCCTTCCAGCTCCCCTGTAGGTACTGAAAGGCCGCTCTCAGGTCTCCTCAGTACCTTCTCCAGAATGAACAGCCCCAGCTCTCAGCCTGTCCTTGCAGGAGAGGTGTTCCATCTCTTGGATCATTTTGGCGACCCTCCTGTGGACAAGCTCCAACAGGTCCGTGTCTCTCTTATCTCAGCCAAAGACACTTACCTGGGGATACATAACAGAGGAGGCCAAAGTCATGGATTCTGTGGCCACCTGTTTGCCCATCTAATTTAGTAAATGGCCCATTGATCAGCTTTCCTTGAGTTCATGGCAAAAACAAGGCTAAGCTCTCACAAGCTGGTCATGATAAAGGTATGTACATGCACTTACAAACAAGTCTGTATTAATGTGAAAAATAATACACGGATACCCTACAAGCTATCTTCCAACCCCTCAATGCAGTACCATTTATCCTACCTTTTTTTTCTTTAATCCTGAAGCAGATGAAATATTCCCCTCATCTGTGTTACTGCTGCCAACATGACATTGCTGGAAACACATAAATTTTAATATTACTTCAATGCACTGAGATTTTCCACTAGCTGCAGTAAACAGTCTCATGTTTTTGGACCAGAAAGTATTGATTCCACTTCTCACTTTTAGATATGTAGTATGTGGGGGAAAAAAAAAAAGCTATAAACAGCATTTCTCATCTAAAGGAACTGCATGTTCTCCCTCCACTCCCTGGAGCGTTTTCTATTAATATTAACATTTTTCCCCCCAGTGTAATCTCCCATGCAAGCTCTTCACAGAATCCTTTTACTGGCCCCAAATTGCTTTCTTCCTGGCTGACAAAAATACTTCTGGATAGCAAAGCTTTCAGCCTTTCAAGAACACCTACAGCACTAAAGGGCATGTGTTTAAAAGCGCTCACAGTGAGACTCTCACAGTCACAGCCACCCCTCAGTGACAGAATGCATTGTGCTATGAAAATGATGAATGGTGCTTGGCGGTGTTATCGTGTGTTATCCCTGACAGCTCGGAGATGGGAGCTGTACTGGGTGTTTATATTCCTCCAGAGAGGCAACAAAACAAGGTGGTTCAGCCCTGTTTCCGAGGTCACACTCTATATCAGTGGGACGTTGAAAGCAATTGCAGTGGGCAGCTCCTTTCCTGTACCTATCCCTTCATCCCTACGCTGTAAGCCTCTCACAAGCAGAGGGCATTGCCTGGTCTCCTTCTGGTGGCTCCTGGTCTGCCATGGGGTAATGGTGCTGTATGTGGAGGAGGAACAAACAGTCTCGTGCCGACTTCTGTTTAAGGGGAAGAGAGAAGCTAGACTGAATACCACGGATTAAGAGCAGCATCGGGAGAAAGGAGTCATTTTTACATTGTATTCAGAAATATGACTTCCTGTGGCATATGAGACAAAGAAATCAAATCCGTTGCTGGCAATAATTGTTGTTTAATCCTGTAGCTGTATCTGGAAAAATCCTGTACGTTTATTCCAGGACCAGGGTGCCTCAGTGCATTTAGTGCTGTACAAGAGGGAACTCCAGCGCTGCCACCATGGCCATGGCACACAGAGCCCGGAACCACATGGCATGGCATAGCACAGCAACCATACAAGTTTAGCCAACGGACTTGACTCTAATTAAACTTTGGTTTTGATGGTAACTTAGTTTTCAGCCAGGCTTAGGAAACCCTGCACAGAAGCTAATCCAGGCTGATCTAAGTTCTGCGCAGGCTTTCACTTTACAAGTGTGGGTTGTGCACGCACCCTACAGCACAAACTGAGCCCAGCTCTGCCAACACAAACACATGGTGCACCTGCCTCTTTTGCTACCTTGTGGTCCAAAACCCAAAGGCAGAACTACACATGCTTTTTTTACTAAATGTTTTCAACTTTTAAAATAAAAGCTTTTACCGTTTCCCTTCAAAAATGGGTGAACACTCATCCCAAAACCATTCTGTGCCTGTTGCTGAGGAGCAGCACATCCTGCATAACTGTGAGGCATTTACTGAAAGATGGACCTGCAGGTTTAAGTCCACTCCATTTCACAGCTGAAGAAACTGAGGCACACAATCAATGACTCATCCAGTGCTACAGAGAAGCATGACCAAGGAAAATAAATGCTGAATAACAGCTGCAGTAACAGTGCTGCTCATGTGTCCTTAATATCAGCATAAGACAAAAAAAAAGAAAGAAAACCACATACCCCAAAGTCAAATTAATTTTATTAATAAATCACAGGAGAAAACTGCTACATTTTGCTGAGAGAAAACCAAAGCTTTATGTACTAGGTCAGAATGAGGGAGGCTGCATGCTAAAATGCTGATTATGTAGATTTATCTTATGAACATTTTTAGACAAGAATGAAGTAGGGCTTATTCTCTTTAATTAAAAACAGAATCCTACGTAGTTCATTAGCACTGATTCAGAGCAGAATGAATATTAACGGAGCCCAGCTCTCCCAAGTCTACCTGCCAAAAACATCAAGAGAAAAAGATCAGAAAATGGATTCCTGAGCAACTGTAAATGTAGATGGCTAATGGCACTGCAAGGCATCTCTGAAAGGTCCTAGAGATCACGGAGATCATCTTGGCCAGAAAAAGGCAACTGTTACTGCCATCTTCAAAAAGGAGAGTAATAGGATGTGGGGGAAAAGAGGCTGACCTGCCTTTCTTCAGTCCCCAGGCAAACTATGGAATAGTCTGGAGGAGGCTCAGAGGAAACCTTCTCACTCTCTACAAGTGCCTGAAAGGAGGTTGTAGTGAGGTGGGAATTGGCCTCTTCCCCCAGGTAAGTGGTGAGAGGATGACAGATAACAGCCTCAAAGGCCAGGAGAGGTTCAGGTTGGATGTTAGGAAACATTTCTTCTCAGAGTGGTGAGGCATTGGAACAGGCTGTCCAGGGAGGTGGTGGAATCATCGACCCCAGAGATGTTCAAGACAAGAGTAGACATGGCACAGAGGGGCACGGTGGTGATGGCTGAAAGGTAGACTTGATGATCTCAGTGGTCTTTTCCACCATTAATGATCCTATGATTCTATAACAAGCCATTACAGAAGCCATTCTAGGCACACGAAATAGGAGATTGAAAACATAAGGTCAGCACCAATTTACCAGAGGCACATTCTGTCTGACCATTCCACAGGCCCTCTCAGAGAAAACAACTGGCTCTGCAGCAGAGGAAAATGGTGGATTGCAGTAAGGCTTTCAACTGTTCCCCACTGTAGCACTGTAGTCAGGCTGAGGATATCGACTACACAGTGGGTGAAAAAACTCTGGGCCACTGGACTCGTTGAAGTTTAACTGTCAGCTAGTTACAAGTGACATTCCTCAGTAGTCAAAAACAGGGAAAATCATGTTTACCTTCATAAACAATCTGGATTGCCAAAGTCCAGTTTAGGACACTTGTTTATCTAGCCTGGAGATGAGAAGGCTGAGAGGAGGCATAACCAGAATTTCCCACTAGAGAGGGGACTGCAAAGAAGTCAGAGCCAGATTCTTTCCAAGGCAAAAGAAAACAATTATAAGCTGTGCCAGGGGATTTGGTCATAAAAAAGAAAACTTCCTGACTGTGGGACTGGCTGAGCTCTGGAAGAGGTGCCTGGACAGACTGTGGAGTCTCCTGCACCAGAGATTTTCAAAACCCAAGAGGCTGTATATCTAATTTTGAAGTTGGCCCCATGCTTCAAAGTGGACTAGATGGCCTCCAAATGACCTTTCAACCTACATTTTTCTGTGATTCTGTGATTCTAAGTGTATATGCAACTAGTAGTGTAATCAGTTGAAAGAACACCAATCACATTTATTCTACTTGGCTTCAGGCTATTCCACCTGTCAGGTCTCAGACATCATTACTGTGCTTCTTCGGCCAAAAACTTCATATACTGTTTCCGAGCAGGAAAATCATCAGCTGGTCTGTTGTATGCTGTCCAGACTGGTTCTCCAACAAAAAGTCTCATTGCTTTCACGTAGTTCTGTCAAAGAACAAAAAGTCACAAGCAATTTCAGATTTATTTTCTGTGGCAAATCCTGAAATTAATGTTTTAATTTGCATTTATGCAGCAATTCCTGAAAGCATTTCAAGATGGACTGAAAACTTCATGTGTCCCAGAACACTGTAGCATGATGCCGCTGTTGCCAGCTCCTGCAGCGAGATTTTGCACCTATGCAGGGATATATGTTGTGTCACAACCAGTGCCTCCAGCGTGGGCAGACAGTACTTCCACCTGATCAATGAAACCAAATAAATCCTGTTTTATGCAAATCATTTTGCACTGGATCCACAGCACCAAGCAGAGCAGCATCTAATTCCTACTTGCTCAGTTAAACAACAAAAATCAGAAGACCCAAGATCTCTACAAAATGCCTGAGGAATATCAAAAGCTTCAAAGCAAGGGCCTCAAAAAGCTCAATGCATAAACTACCCAAAAAACAACACTGCAGAAAGCAAAACTCTCCAGATTTCCAAAGCAGTAGGCCAGCAGTCAGCCAGAAGCATGTTGGGTAGGAATGTGAAGCTGTGGTAGCAGAATGGAGGATTACATCCCACAGAAATGCTCCAACCACTGAGTTATGGGGAACTCATCTCTCCTCTACTGCCAGCTACACTACAGGTTTAGGCCCTACCTATATTGTAAATGCTGCTAAGTGCTTATCTTGCATTTGTATACTCAGCAATGTCAAGAATAAAATTAGGCACCTAAAAAATTTAGCCTCAAAACCCAAGGGTTTAGAAGTACCTAAAGAGTGTATGGGAGATTTTGAAAGTAACATTTCTAGACTAAAGTTCCCAAAGTGAACATAAACATTTGTAACGTCTTGTAGATTCACTGCATAATCCCTCATATTTTGTGTATGTAAAGTAAAAGCCTTAAACTAGCAATTGTAGCAGATTCACCACAGACCTCAAAATGTTGACAAGAAATCTCTGGTATATCACCAAAACAGCAGTTTTTTAAAATCTTTATTATTATAATTGTTATTATTTACATAAACAACAAACATTATCTAGACATCTGATTTGAAATCATACCACACTCGGGACTATCCTAGAAAGGGAGTTCTGCCACACACGAGACAACAGCACACATTTCCCTATCTACCAGGGCTAATGCTAAGATTAAAAATGTATTTGTAAGAGTCCACAAGGGCAGGCACACAGATCAGGACTACGTGTGCAATCTCACAATCCATCTGCCAAAACACTCTCCAAAAGCAGGTCACCTCCTGTGAAGTCAGCATTCAATCTAGCATACGCTAGCAGCATGCAGTGGCTCTGCAGCCTTAAATCATTCTTTCCCTGAAGGTGAATTTAGCACTTATGAAGAATGCCACTGCTGTACAAAGATATGCTCTGTCTGGCCCTACAAAGACACGCAACACAGAGGGATTCATCTCCACACTGCAGCTGACAGTGGGGGCAACTGTGCGAGGGACAGCTGCAGGGTTTGGCTCTCAGGCCACCGTTGCACAAGGTATGCTATGGATACCACGTGGCAATGACTTGCAGTTACAGCTGATGAGATTAAGCTGAATTTGTGACCCAGAGATGATAGGTTCAAATGCTATGAATTATTTAGTATTTTTCATATTCCTACTTCATATTTAATATGCTTTGCTAATGAACTGCAAGTCTCAGGGCATGCAGTTACCAATAAGATACATACTCACATCCATTTGTCATCAAAATTTAGGGTAATTTATGATAACATACATTCTCATCCAGTGTAAATCGGTGATATATGCCAGCAGGGAGGGTTATCATGTCTCCTTTCTCCATGGAAATCCGGATCCATTTGTCATCTTTGTCTCGAACATCAAAATAGCCAGATCCATCTAAGATGTAACGAATTTCATCGTCTAGATGTAAATGCTCTTCATAAAATGTTTTTATCTGGGGATAGGAGGTATCTATTAATACCAAATATAGAAAAACTGCAAAGGAATCTAGCTGAAACATTTGGCAAAGCAGACAAAGGCTTTCAGCAATGCAGTGATTTAACTAACAGACGAAACCAGCAGGATTAAAATGGCCAATCCAGTCAGCCAGACCCAGGGGTCCGGGTACTTTTTATCCATGCTAGCACAGGCGTGCCTGAAACACTTCTCAGCCTTTACTGATTCAGCATGGCAGCCCTCTATCTTTGCATAATGCTGAACTCATCCAGGGTACTTAAATTACTATGTAATTCAGCTTCTAAAAAAACTTGAAATCAGTGTAATAATGGGCCTAAAACAAACTGGTAAGAGGAAAGATTTAATGGAAATGTTGAAATACCACCAGGCTGCCGTATTCAGATCAGAACAGCAGTCTAATGCCCTGAGGCAGGGAAAAATACACTCCTTCTAGAAGACTCAAGGCCTGGCACTGCTTGTGTTCACCTGCTTCCAAATAGCCAAGCTGTTTACTTCCCAAGTTAACAAATCATCTTGTAAGGGAAACATATCCCTCAAATTCCATGATGTTAACATTCATTTTGAGAAGATATATTTTGCAACAGCCAGCAGGATGTCTCAGCCTTCAAAGCCCATACACAGCTGGGAACAGCCTGCCTTCATCCTGGTTAGGATCTCTGACTATCTGCAGGGCTCCGAATTTCAAAATGGCACAGTGATGGAAAGTAGCCTAAAAACTTTGCAGGCAACCTACAGAAGCAAAAGGCCTATCCCTTCCTTGTTCTAGAAACAGTATCAACATTTATTTTACTAAAGTTAAGGACTTTAGTACAAGATGTATTTTAAACACGAATTTAATCTCTCAGAGCGTATGTAATAAGCATACGTTAAAAAGCTGACTCTGCACTCTAGCAGCAGAATTCAGAGTGCAAATCCTCATTCAAAGTGATGGCCTGCATACCTTTTCTTCGTAATTTGGCAACTTGTCTTTATGTATAGTTATTATATCCATCCAAGAATAATTTTCTGCTTCCCGAATCTCTTTCAGACGTGGGTCAGTCTCATAGTTATCAGCATCCAACTAAAATACAGGCAGAAAAAAAATGCATTCAGACACAATCACTTAAAACACAACTGAAGATACTAATGTGGAAAAACAAAGTTGTTGTCTATGGGCAAGCAGATAACCTGAGTGACTACGTTGAGTGACTACGTAAGCTCCTTATAGGTACACAAGGCACATAACAATGCCCTTCAAGACAGAAAGGTGAACACACAAAAGCACAACTACTGCATGCTCAGTAATGTACCAGATACTAATAAGTCTAGAAGTTACTATTTAGTTAACATGGGAAGACCAAAAATGATAAAAACCTGAGTTTTCAAAACCAGCACAGACATCCCATGTCAGCTTGTCATCGAAAACCACGCTTGCCTTCCCATACTGCTTCAACAACTTGATTCTCATTCAGGAGCCAGATTCATTGCATTTCCCTATATCAGCCCCACTGAAGCCATCTGGGGAGCCTTCCTGCTGCTGCTGCAGCCATTTCTGAGGTTCAGAAGTGCTGGCAGACACATATGGATTGGTACCAGTTCTTTAAGCACTGCTTCCTCACCCAGCATGACTCGACTGCCAAGCACACAAGCTTATTGTCACACACAGAACAGCAGCAGCAGCACAGCAGCAACAAATAAGATTAAATTAGAGAGTAATGGGTTTGAGCTCTTTGCTGATTGTGTCAGAAATTAATAAACTGCTCTGGATACACTTCACTTTTTCTGCACTCGTGCCAAATTTATGAAACTGGGAGAGATGCTAAAAACAGACAAGCAGAAGGTTACCTGAGGTTTCAGAATGGCAAGACCTGCTATGGTTTATTAACTCTTGCAGCATGTCCTTACCTTGCACAGCCTGCAGAGAACTTCAAAGGCTGGAGCCTCAACCGCCAACACACATCCCCATCCCCATAAGGCACTGCCACTCTGCAGCACTGCTTGTGCTGCACTCCTCAAGCCCAGGAGGTATGATTATTGGGAAGAGAAATCCTGAGCTCTTAATGAATACATTTTACAGCTGAGGCATGGCTGATTTATGGTTTGTACCAGAAGTTATCCATCACGTAGCTCTTCTGTTTGAACCACCCCAAGAAGGATACTTTGAAATGTCTCTTACAAATCAGTGAATCATAAGGGTTGGAAAGGACCAGTGGGGACCATCAAGTCCAATCCGTCTGCTAAAACAGGTTCCCTACAACAGGTCACACAGGTAAACATTCAAGCAGATCTTGAATATACCCAGAGAAGATTCCAGAGCTTGTATGGGCAGACTGTTCCAGTGCTCCATCACTTTCACAGTAAAAATCTTTCGCATGCTTATATGGAATTGTGTTGGATTTGTGCCCTTTGCCCCTTATCCTGTTGCAGCACACTGAAACAAGGCCGGCCTCATCCACTTGACTCCTGCACTTCAGAAACTTACATTGATGTGATCACCTCTCAGTCTTTTCCAGGCTGAACAGCCCCAGGCCTCTCAACCTTCATTCATAAAGCAGATGCTTCAGGCCCCAATCATCTTTGTGTCCCTCCCCTGGACTCCTAGAAGATCCCTGTCTTTCTTGGACTGGGGAGCTCAGAACTGGATGCAGTGTTCCAGATGTGGCCTCACCAGAGCAGAGGAGGAGAATCCTTAAACCTGCTAGCTGCACTCTTTTTAATGCAACCCAAGATACCTGCAGAGAAGGACGTGGGGGTCCTGATGGATGAAAAGCTTAACATGAGCCAGCAGTGTGCTTTTGCAGCTCGGAGAGCAAATGGTATCCTGGGCTCCATCAGACAAGCGGTGGCCAGCAGGGACAGGAAGGTGATTGTCCCCCTCTACTCTGCTCTTGTGAGGCCCCATCTGGAATACTGCGTCCAGGTCTGGAGCCCCCAGTAACAAGGAAGACAGGGAGCTGTTAGAGAGGGTCCACAGGAGAGCAACAAAGATGATCAGTGGACTGGAGCACCTCTCCTACAAAGACAGGCTGAGGGAGCTGGGCTTGTTCAGCCTGGAGAAAAGAAGGCTGCAGTGTGACCTCATTCCAGCCTTTCAGTTCCTAAAGGGGGCCTACAAACAGAAGGGGAGTCAACTCTTTGAAAGGGTTGATAACTGCAGGACAAGGGGAAATGGTCTTAAGATGAGGGAGGGAAGATTGAGGTTGGATGTCAGGGGGAAACTCTTTACAGAGAGAGTGGTGAGGTGCTGGAACAGGCTGCCCAGAGAGGCTGTGGATGCCCCATCCCTGGAGGTGTTCAAGGTCAGACTGGATGGATGGGACCCTGGGCAGCCTGGTTTAGTATTAAATGGGGAGGCTGGTGGCCCTGCATGTGGCAAGGGCGTTGGAACTTCATGATCCTTGAGGTCCCTTCCAATCCTAGCCATTCTGTGATACCACTGGCCATGTCCACAATGGCACACTAGAGGACCCCTAAGTCCTGCTCTACAGAGCTCCTCTCCAGGGGCTCAGCTGCTGACCTGTACTGGTATATGATGCCCAACCCAAACCATCCCACCATTCGGAGATGTCCGGTACAAACACACAGCTCACCCTGGTGGGCGTCGTGCCTCAGGATTCAGCCCCAACCCGCAGGTTTGTAGCAGCACCGCCACCATCTCGGGTGGGAATCAAGCGGGGTGAAGGCTGCACAGCGACCAGGGGCGATACACGGACGGGTTTACCAAATAAACACGTAAAAACTTATGTCTCGATTTTACAACGCGGCTGTAAGGGGATATCACATGAAACCCTTGTTTCAGAGACACGGCAAAGGCAGCCCTGAGGACCGCAAGCAGACAACGTGAGAAGAGCCCCCGGGAAAGCCAGCTCCGCAGCCGCCTCCCGGCCTCAGGGGCACGGCGCCATGACGCGCTTCGCCGGCGCCCGCCCGCCTCCCGGGGGCAGCGCAGCGCGGCCCGGCGCCGCGCGGCGTCCCTCAGCCACGTCCCGGGACTCGCACCCCTGGGCAGCGCCGCCCGCCCCCGCCGCTTACTCTGCGGTAGGCGACGCCGAGGCGGCGCAGGTGCTCCAGGCTGACGGCGCGGTTGGGCTCCAGCCTGTGGGGAGCCCGCTGGTCCTCCTGGGACTCATCCATATACCAGGCCTCCACCATGGCGGCGCCGGCAGCTTCCGCGGAGCTGGGCGGCAGCGGCCCGCCCCGCCGCTAGGGCCCGGCCTATGGGGAGAGCGCCGAGATCTCGGGCAGCTCTTGGAGGCCTCCAGTTACTTTCTTCTTCAAAAACAAGCATGAACGCTGCCAGAACTTTTAACTCCTATCACTGAAGGCTGTTTGTTAAATGACAGTACCCTCTGAAGTTTCAGTTCCCCATGAAGAATGAATTCCCCCTGAACAGCTAACGTTCTTGACCTCAAGCCTCTCCTAAGCCTGCTTTAGAAATATTATTCACTTCCCATCCTTCAATCTGTTCATAGTCCTATGGGCATTCTTCTTTAATTTCCAGAATGAGAAATAAACGTTAGTAACAACTAGAACAAAACTGTTTCCTATTAGAATCATAGAATCGCAAGGTTGGAAACGACTTGCAAGATCATCTAGTCCAACCACCCTCCCATTCCCAGTAGCACAAGCTATTAAACCATATCTCGTAGCTCCTCATCCAGACACCTCTTGAACACTGCCAGGGACGGCGACTCCACCACCTCCCTGGGCAGCCATTCCAGTGCCTGACCACTCTCTGAGAGAAAAAGTTTCTCCTAATGTCCAACCTAAACCTCCTCTGGTACAACTTCTGGCCGTTTCCTCGGGTCCTACTATTTGCCTGGGAGAAGAGGCCAAACCCTTTTTCATCACAACCTCCCTTCAGGAAGTTAAGTGCAATGAGGTCTCCCCTGAGCCTCCTCCAGACTGAACAATCCCAGCTTCCTCACCCGCTCCTCATAAGACTTGTGCTCCAGACAATTAAATTTCTTGTTTCCACACTGCAGAAATCCTTCAGGCAGTAAAGTAACTTAAATAGTGTGATGCTGCTGCTACCACTTACCCACTATTATCTTCACAGTTTCCTCAAAATTGCTGCTCCAAATAACAGATTTCCATGCAGTAAGTAGGATCTGCACATTTAACACAAGAGGTATGATCTGGAGATTATGACACTTCTTCAGCACGTCTGTCATGCTGTTTAACTGTTTCAGCTAGAGATCTGATCAGGATCACTACATACTTTCCTCCAAGTCGAACTTCTAAAGTAAGAAAAGACAGTTGTGTATGTGTATACATAGGTTGCTCTGAAAGTAACACCTCCCATATATTTTCACAGAAACTACAACAAAGAGCACAATAACACTACTTGATAGAGCAAATTCTCAGCTATAAAATGCTATTTTTCAATATAGTTGCCACCATTAGCTCTGCATTTTTGACAGCCTCCATACTACACTCAAAGTTATCTGAATGTGGTTTCTCTTTTATATCACTGTCACCACTGCTGAAATGCACCACCCACCACCTCACTGTGCTCACATCCACTGTTTGGTCTCCATGAATGTTCAGCAAGTGTCGATGAATGTTAATAGGTGCAACTTTTTCCACATGGAGAAATTCAATTCCACACCTGTTTCATTCTCACTTCCACATCAGACATCATTTTGTCAGACTGCCCCTCTGCTGCCATCAGTCACACAGCAACAAAACGTAACAATACTGTTGGGAAGGTTTAGCTTTTACTGCCATAACACCAACGTCCATCTCTGACGCTGTGGGCCAACACAATAGAAGGTATCACCTCCAGAGCAACCCTAGCAAATGCATGTATATACACACACGTACATATGCAGAGATGTACACATGCATATATACGAACATATACAAGACCCAGAGAACAAAATTTTGTCAGTGTACTACCTCATCCCTTCAGGTGCAACTACCATGCAATTTTGGATGACACAAAACAAAATCTCTCCCATCTATTAGTAAATAGACTAATTTCCTAGCTCCATCACAATTCACGTGACACTAAATACCTAAAAGCATACATTTTTCTGCGAGTAAGGATATTAAAAGGAATGATAACCATTAAGAAATCAAGCTTCAGCAGCTCCAGTGATCTATGCAGCCATTAACAAATAAAAAAAAAACAAACCTCAATGACTTCTAACTTAAGCACTACTGTCAGTAATATTCAGATGCCTTACAAAATAGTTGACAAAGACAATATAGCATGTTTCCCTTTCCTTCATAGATACATAAAAAATAACACTTGTTGAGCAGCAGTATTTACTCTCTAATTCAAGCACACATCAGTCATTCCACTCATCTCAACAATGACTAGAAAAAAATGAAGTCAAATGCTTGACAACTTGGAACTTCTCCAGATCTCCCAGTTCCACCTCAGATAAAATGGCTGATTATCTTTGGGACATCTGAGAGGAGGATTCTACTGTCAGAATGCTAAGGCTTATTAATAAACATCTTCATGTCACATCATTGATCTCTTATCAAATCATCCAACCAACTTCACCTCCTCAACAATTTTGCACCATTAACATATACTTCTGTACAAAAAAAAAAAAACAATTTATTTCATAAGAAGGAAATAAAAGAACACACAGGATAAAAATTTAGTATCATTTCTTCTGAAGTCTGTCTTTATGGTGAATTCAGAAACCTATGAGACCGCTCAAAAACACTGACAGCAGCACTTCAGTAAGATGAAGGAAAAAAGCAGTTTATCATCAATTAAATATCGATCTGATTGTAAAACAAACATAGATGTAAAACAAACAAGCATAGATGAAATAGATGCATTTTTTTTCTCCCCTGAAGTTGGTTATACATTTAGTACTTTGAGCTAGAAATAAGCACAGTTCAAAGTTCAACTCTGAAGCAACAGCAGTTCAAACTGTCACTGCTACATTAGTCCTTTTCCTCCAACTGCAACAGTCTCCAGTCCCAGTATGTCACAACTTTTGTTTACTAGCGCCTTCTCTTGCTAGTCTGTCAGCTTCCTCATTTCCTTGGAAACCAGCATGACCAGGAATATGCATCTGTTAGGACAAAAGTACAGGAGTGTTAGAAATGAAAGAAATCCAAAAAAAGAGCACATACATGAAACTTGAGCACATAATGCCCTTCTATTCATAGCATAGTAGCAGCTTCTTAGAGGAACTCATATTAAGTCCTTATGTGTTCTTCCCAGTAATGATTGTAAACTCTCATTAAAGATCAAGAACTGGATTGCCAGATTGCAAAAACCATCTTTATAAGAAGTGGTGAGCTGTCTAAGGAGCACCTAACCTAGCCTTAAAAAAAAAGGCAGAAAACAGCACTAACACTTAGTTACTAACTCAGAAGTCCTACCTTCAGATGAAAGAGAAAACCTCTCTGACATTCAGTCAACTTTTCCCAGAAAGCTACACCATTAAAACCAATAGCTGTGTAACACCTCACTTAAGTATCTGTTTTTTTCAATTTTTTACATTAAAGACCCTTATGTGCTCAGTTTTCTTGGAAAAAAATACTAAGGTACAGAAAACCAGAGTTAAGTTGATTTGGGGTTACAATCTAAGTTTTCCTGGTTTAAAGGCAGATGTACGATTAAGTTACACAGAAGAGCCAGTATCTTAAAAGCTTTGATAAGCAACTCTAGCAGTTACAACTCAAGAAGACACTATTATGTTCCAAGCTTACATTTTCAGAAATTGAAATAATTAGGCAGTTTCTAAGTAGTAACAAGAAACAATAAAAAACATGCATTTTAACAAACAAATAGTGGTTACAAGAGACTAGCTTACACTGACATGATAATTTCCCTTGCTTTAAATAAAACAAGCAGATTCACTGTATTTATAGATGTATAGCTTTATATCCTATACAATTCATTGCTATGGTCCTAGTTAGTAAGAATTTACAAGAGTATTTAGGATGTCATAAGGAAGAAGAAATGAGGTGCTCACCCACTGAATTTCTATGCCTTTTGATAGACTATCAAGTTTTTGAAAATCTTCTTTATTTATCACGCTTCCTCCTGAACTTGTTCTCCAGCCATTTGTTTTCCAGTTTTCAACCCAGCTCGTAATACCTATGCAAAGGGAGTATTATCATAAAACATGTTATGAAAGAACAACTGTTTCACTAGTCTTTCAACACATTCCATACAAAGTCTCAGGCAAAAACATCATAAAAAATAAGAATATTTGGTCTTCAGGATTATATTTTCTCATTATTACTTGAAATACCAACAGTGTTTTCCTGAACAGGTATTTAAAGATTACAGCTTTATATACACATTCCACACATAATTATGACATGAACTTCAACAAACTGAAGCTAAAGATTTGCTTGATTGTACAATAAACTAGAACAAATTTGTTTTGTCTGAAGACGTAAACACACAGAGGAGAAACAGATGACCACATATTTTAAGATTTTTGTTGGCTAAACAGAACACTTCGGAGAAGGAACACATAAGCAGATTTCTAGAGAACAAAATCTAACATTCTGGCCATCCATATGTGGAAAGGAGGGAAACCTCCAATATAGCTCACATTTGTGTACAGATAGCTTCTCCAACCCAAGAAGTCAAAACAAACCAAAATGAAACTGCAAAGTCACTACACCAACTTCTGAGTATTCTCTTGAAGACTTCCTTAACAGAAGGCCCACAAAATTTTTTTCTAGACTGTATGTGCCATACTGGGTACATTAAGACAAAAATCATTTACTTCTGTCATTCTTCACTGTTACAGGCAATGGTCTCTAACTGTATTGCATGCAGACAGAAGGTAATCCTTACAGTATTCTGCAAGTTTTTCACCAAGCAGTCTTGAGAATTGAATTGTGTTATATGTTCTCTTCTTTATATAAGAAGTCTCCACAAACCCCAGTATGTTCTATGTGCTTTATGTAATCAGGAACTCTAAAATAATCAACTCACCATTAATAGTGAACTTGCTGTCAGTGTAGATAATTAGTTTCTTGATATTTTGACTCTTTGCTTGCTCAATTGCTTTGCAGGCTGCCTTAAGAACATTTCAATAGAATCACAGTTCAGTACAGTATTTTGAACGTGTAACTAAAATACCAGCAAAGTACCTGATGCTAATACAGAAGAACTACAAAGAATATTACTGTAGTCTCTCCATCAGTAAGTACAAAGATGTTTTAGAACAGAGATGAATCATAAAGACA